CTTTAAATTCCATTATCTAATTTATTGTTGGTTTGTAGATATGCAGTTGGTTTTAGTATATGAACTTGGTAGTCAGCAATCTTGATAAACTCATATATTTATTCTGATCATTCACCTATAGAGTCTTTTAAATTTTGTACATATACAACTATATCAACTACAATTAATGACATTATTGCCCAACTTCATGACATATTACTGGTTTAGGTTTTTTAATAATTTATCTGTTATTGCTACATATATTTATGAACCTACTATAATTTTTCTTTCTCAGAATTTCCTTATCAGGTTTCAAGGTCAAGGTTATCATGCTTGCCTAATAAAATAAATTAAGTGCCTCTAATTTTCAGTTATCTGAAAGAGTTTGTGTAAAATTGATGCCACATCCCCTTGACTGCATGCAGCTGGTTTATTTAGAAAATGACCTCAAATAACAGAAGTAGGGAACTGAGAAATGGGAAGAGCAAAATCAAATAGAAATATGTTAGGGTTAACTGGGGCTTAACCTTCTGAAATCTTCCATGTGGCCATGTAGAATCCACTCAAGACAAAGAAGGGAGCAGTAACGAGCAGTAATTAACAAGTATGTAGATGTAACGTGGCAGTGCCTCCCCATACATTTTTCACTTGCACATCAGTTTTTTTCTGACATGAGGCGTGGGGCACTTTCCAGCAACACTCACTCACATATTTATGAGCTGAAAATTGAAGGGAGCTAATACCCTAAGGACAGTATTTATCAATGGAGGGGGCAATTGTGGATAAATGCTCCCTCTTCTGGGATAAAAGGTAAATGACAGAAAGTGAGTCGAGACAGAAGGTCAATAAAATTGGCACTGTTCCTCAAATGTTTGGTAGAATTCATTGGTGAAGCTGTTTTCCTTGTGGAAAGATTTTAATTACAAATTTAATTCATTTAAAAGTATAAGACTATTCAGATATTCTGTTTTGTATAAATTTTTAAAAATTGTATTTTCTAAGAACCTTTTATTTCATCTACTTTGCCATGTTTTTCCTTATAGTATGTTATACCATCTTTTTATTATTTGAGTTGAAATGACACAAATATAGGGAAAAAATCACAATTTACAATTCAGATTTTCACAAACTGAACACACTTTATAAACATTATCAAGATTAAGAAGTAGAACATTAATAACATCTTAAGTATATAAATCAGGCATGATTATTGCTGCATACAATTGGTGACACTTAACTTGTTTACTCACAAGTTAGTAATTTTCTTTGTTCACCATTTCTTTCAGCATGTAGCCTTTCTTTCTAGTATGTTTTTCTTCTTCCTGAAGTGTATCTTTCACAATTCCCTTATTAAAGATCTATTGGTCACAAATTTCCAGTTTTATGGTCTAAACTGTCGTAAATACATCTTTACTCTTGAAAAATAGTTTTATATTTTGTAGCTTTAGGTAGAGAATATTCCCTGTTGCTAGCTTCTATTATTGTCATATGAAGTTGTTAATATAATAGCTGTTAATATAATTCCTGTAGTGGATATTTTCTATTTTCATTCTCCAAATTCTTTTGAAATAATATCTTTGTGTTTTTAAGTTTCACTAAAATGGGTCTTCATGTGCATTTCTTTTAAACTATCCTGCTTCAGTTGTATTGGGCTTCCTGAGTCTAAAAATTTGGCCACTGTCTGTCTACATACTGTCTTTTTTCCACTATCTCTTTTATATCCCTACTTTTTATTTCCCTTTCCTCTGTATTGTGTGCATGTTCATGTTCACACACATACATGCATTACTAGGGATTAAAGTGAGGACCTCCCACATGCTAGGCAAGTGCTGTGCCACTAAGCTTCCCAGCACCTCCTCCCTTTTTTTTGAGACAGGGTCTTGATATGTACCATAAGGTGACCTTGAACTTTTGATCCACCTGTCTCAGCCTCCCAGTTAGCTACAGGTATGTGTTACTATGCACAATAGTTTTAATATTCTTTTGCTTTTTTTTTTTTTGAGATAGTCTCAGGCTGGTGTCAAACTCTTGGGCTCAAGTGTTCCTCATCCCTCAGTTATGAATGTCTGGGACTATAGGTCTGTATCACCACACTCAACTTCTTTTCTTTAATTTCCTATGTTGCATTCTAAGTAACTTCTATTCACTAATTTTCTTTTCAGCTATGTCTACTTTTCTGTTTAATTTATCCACTTTTCCAATTTTACTTTTTCTATTTTTAATTCATAGAAGTTCTATGTTACTCACTTTTCTTGTTACTGAGACAAAATATCCAATACCCAAAGTTAAAGGAGGAAAGACTCATTGTAGCTCACAGTTTGTAAAAGTTTCAGTTCATAATTGGCTGGCTTTAAGGCAGGCATGGCAGAGGGGCATCACAGAGGAGAAACAGTTCATGGCAGGCAGGAAAAAGACAGTAAACCAGCAAGCAGAAGCAAGGAGCAGCAGCAGCAAGCAGGGAGGCAGAAGTCTCTTTTATCCCTGATGTGCTATACTTTTGGGTACCACACCCAGGGTAGGCCTTGCCAATATCCATCCCCAGAATTACACTGAATCAATCAGTGGACTAATTTAGTAATCATGCACCTGTAATCCCAGCATCACACCACTTAATAATCCTAGTACCACACAATCCTAGGATCTAGGATAATAATCTAGGATAATAATCTAGTACCACACCCTAGAACTAGCCACCTCTGAAAAACCCTACCTATGAGCATATAAGACTCTGAGGGGACATGTAGATACAAGCCACAACGTTCTTTTATGACTCTACTTTTTAAATGCTGGCAAAATTGTATTGTTTGTAGTTCCCCTATCATATTTTATAAACTGTGGCTCTGACACATATTATAATCCTTTTATGTTCCATATCTTACACTTCAATATTTGCAATCTCTGTGGTTCTGATTTTGTAAGTTTTGGGGGCTGATTTTTATTCATTGTAGCTTGTTTCCTATATCTTTAAAATTTTTTCAGGTCCTATTTCTGGAAGTTTGTCTCAAGGTACTTTTTGTGCCTGAATTTAAAGTTTAATTCTCCAGACAGCATTTGTTTTTGCTTTTGCCTGGCACTAACAATCTAAGCACACATTCGCTACTTTTTTAGTTTGAACTTTTTTTCATTCTACTTGGGCACAACTAATTCAAACTGAAACAAATGTGAGTGTGGTATGTTATTTTAGTCTCCAAAGCATTCTTTCAATTTTCCACCAACTTAACCATTTATTCAAAGTTATTTATAAAACTGTATTTTAGATATTTTTAAAGATGGCTACATATCAAGGTTTTTTTCTATGAATCTAACCTACCATGCTATAGTTCTGTATTTGTTTAACGGATCTATCTTATTCAGGGTCCAGTATCATATAGATGAAATGAAGACTGTATTATATTCAAAATATATCTGTCATATAGCATCTTATATTCAAATACCTGGAAAGGCACATTTCTCTTCCTAAATTTTTTTCACTCTTTGACACATTTGTATTTTTTTTTCACTCTTTGAGACATTTATATTTGTTTCATAATTGGGTGGTGCAGGCCTGTGATCTCAGCTCTTGGGAGGCTAAGGCAAGAGGACTGCATGAGTTCAAAGCCAGCCTTGGCCATACAGTTGAATTCAAGACCAGCCTGGTCAACACAGTGAGACCTTGTTTTAAAAATCTTTTTTAAAAAAGAATCAGCTGTCTAAGTAAAAAAAAGAGAAAACTGATATATTAGCTGGCAATTTGTTTCTATATACTATGTAAAGAATTCTAGAGATTGGAAAGAATTGTTATATTTACATTTAGCTTTTCCATCTGCACATTTCTGGTTAATATTTTTCTTATTTTCTGAGAGAAATTTCGCCCCATTATAGCTTTACCTAGCTATTTTTGGATTACTACTTATTTCAAAACATATTGTTTTTTATCCCCTTTGTACAAATGGCTTAATACTTTTAATGAGTTTATTGTCAAATAAAATAATATGTATGTCAATTAATGGCTTATTTTCAAAATACCCAGTTACACAAGGATTATTTCTGCTTTGAAATCTGGGCACCCCTTAAGGAGGAAATGGCAATCCCCTTTCCCAGCCCCAGTGTTTGGAAAAGAAATTGTTATAGTTCTTGAGGCAAACAACTAAAAACCCTTGTAGAAATGAATTTCTTCTAGGAATCAAGCACTTCTATTTAGACTCTACAGGTCATGTGGTTTATTAAAGCAGTTTTCACTATACTTGTTAATATAAAGCAATACCCAGTTATCATATTCTAGGGTCATTTTCCAAATTAACAGCAAAAGTCCATCCCACTCCTTAACCCTGCCTCAGGTTCAATAGTTTTGTCTCCACAAAATCTTATTACTGCTACATACGGAGAGGCGCACCACTTTTTCTGATTTGACATCTACCATTTTTCAGAACTCAAAAACTATTTTTCCTTTTTTTTTCATTAGGACATCTCTATCCCCACTGACAGGTCACAGCAAATATTCATTGAATTTTAACTCGGAAGCATTTTGGGTGGAAGTCAGTAGGCCTAGGGTTAGCTCTAAAAGCTATGATAAAATAAATTATACCCAACCTGTGAACAACAACTAAGCACTACGTGTTTTCTTCTTTGGTACATATTGATCTTCTTAGAACCTAGTTTATTTTCACTCCCTAAGGGCTGATTTCCCGCAACAGAAAAAGCTCACGTAGAAGATACAAAAATAACTGAAACTGAAGATCCCAAAACAACCTGGACACTGGCTTGCTCTGACTGGAAGACGATCCAACGATTAGGGAAAGATGGCTCCTGTGTACCTTATGTGTCTATATCTGGGAGAAGCCACCATGTAACCGCAGAAATTACATTGGCCAATGGACTCCTGTCTCCTGCAACAAAAAGCAAACAATCATTTCAATCACTGCAGCTGAAGGGAGCTCACAGGAAGGAGGGCGCCAATTGACAGTACCTCCCGGGCCACGCCTCCCGGTTTCCTAGGTGACTGGCCTCCGCGTTCCTCCGTATATCCTGTACCGGGAGGCGGTGCTCATACACTCTCGGCGCGTGACGCAAGCACGTTTCACTATAAATTCATGTTGCGCAGGCGCGGCTCTCTCTCGGATCCGCCTGCTGCTACTAAGATGGCGCCGGTGAGTGCCATTGTTCTTGGTGGGAGCGTTTTGTGACAATGTAAATGATTTTGGAGCCTGGAGAGTGAAGAGGTTCCATTCCAGATAAAAGGAGGGGACAAATAGAGTCCGCGTCAGGAACACTACTGAGACGTTAGAATGCCGAGTTGTTTTTCGAGACTCGCTGTGGCTGCCATGTGGCCTGGTGTGGAGCTCGAGCTGGGCCACTAGTTGGTTTAGGATGGGTGGTCGCGGGAGAGGGAAGCACCGCTGTGCGGGCGGTTGGATGGCATCCGGACAGCCTTTTCCTCTCCAGTTAACCCAGTCTCCCCTGTTTGCAGCGGGAGGGGAGGGTAACCGGACCGATTTGGTGGGAGGAGGGAGCTCCGAGGCGCCCAGCGAGCCCGGCTGCGAAAGTTTTCGAGAATCTTAGGAGTTTGTCGGGGAAGAAGTGTGTTCTTAAAGTCATGTTTTAAAATGTAAAGTCATGCTGGGCGTGGTGGCGCACGCCTGTAATCCCAGCACTCCGGAGGCTGAGGCAGGTGGATCCTTGCGAGTTCCAGACCAGCCTGGGCTACAAAGTGCGCTCAAGGCCAGCCTGAACTGCAGAGTGAAGCCCTGTCTCAAAAAAGACAAAAGTAAATAAATAAAATAAAATGTAAAGTCAAGGCTGGGGATGTAGCTCAGTGGCACAGCACCTATCTGGTAAGTACAAGGTCCTGAGTTAAATTCCTGCTACAAAAAATAAACAAAATAAAATATAGTCATGGCACTTCATCAGTGTGAAAAAACGTACTTCAGATATTTCGTTAAGAAAACAATGCTAATGTGAAAAGCTAGATGTATGTTGGCAGTTACCAGAAATTGTTAAGGATAAAATTTAAATTGCTGGGATACCAAACTGGTTAGTGTCCAACGTGGCAGTAAATCCTTTAGGGGTTACTGTTGATTAATGTTTGATATTCATTTGGCTGGATCTGATTCGGAGATGTCAGTCTCAGTTCATCGTGTTTTCAGTACCTCACATGTGTGTTGTTACTAGTCACATTTATATTTTTATGTAGTCTTTGTGTATTTTTTAGTTTAAAAAAAAAAAAGCTCCAGCCACACATACCTCCCTTTTCTTTATAACGGTGTAAGGATTGACTGTTGTAGACACAAGTGGGCAGTCAGTACACAACCTGTAACCCATCTGTAGTGGGGATGACAGGAAACCAGTTGGCCAGAGTAAACGGAAGTGGTTGTTTGAAACTGATTGTAAGTGGTCTGGAAAATAATAAAGCCCTGTTAAATCTTGACAGGTTTTTGTTTTGTACTTGAGAGACATTTCAATGTGGAAAAGAAAAATTTCCATCAGAATTCACAAAAAAGGTTGGTTATGTGTATGAAGTGAATGAATAAAAACATCTTACAGCATTGTAATTATGTTAACTTTATTTAGCAGAAAGACAAGAAGCCTAAGAGATCAACCTGGAAGTTTAATTTGGACCTTACTCACCCAGTAGAAGATGGAATTTTTGATTCTGGAAATTTTGTAGGTATTTTTCTACTTGCCTTGTTTTTGTAATGGTATTACGCATATATTTGATGTTAACCTGAGCTCTATTCCTAGGGTACCTTCCCTAGTGAATGTCTAGGGTTTTCTTCCCTAGTTTTGCATTTTTTTTTTTTCTGTTTTAAAATAGGAACAGTTTCTGAGGGAGAAGGTTAAAGTCAATGGAAAAACTGGAAACCTTGGGAATGTTGTTCACATTGAACGCTTCAAGAATAAAATCACAGTTGTTTCCGAGAAACAGTTCTCTAAAAGGTTTGTACTTGTTTTGCAAATACTAATGAAATTATTACAATTGTGGAATATTATATAGAATGTATAATCTTAGCACTGTTAATCAGGAAGAATAAGTGAAAGTAAGGTATATCAAAAATGCCTGAACTTATTTAAAACCTTATGAATGGGAAATAAATGAGTATCTCAAACACCAATTGCTTAGTCTGGTTTCATAACTAATTGGAAGAACGTACAGTCAATTATAGGCCTCTTTAACCCAAGTAGTAAATAATCCTGTGACATTGGATGCTTTAATACTTGAATATGTTGCAGTATGTCTGTGCTTGTGACAAATGTCCAGTTTACTAAGAGAAACATTTTCTTAATTCTGTTTAAGGTTTTAGTTAAAATAGGGGGAACCAATCAAAGGCAAAATCTCTTAATATCTTACTGCTGATCTTTGTTGGTTCGATTTGTTTGGCACATTAAATACTACTTGGCAGCTGTGTTGTAGGACTGGGCAGGCCAGCAGTGACCGAAGCCAATAAAATTGCCCATCACCAAGCCACATCTGTAGAAGAGTAATAGTGCATCTGTGCTGTGTGATGACAGTGTTGTGGTTGGTATAAGAGACAATCAGGAAACACCTAACCCAAATGAAATGTAGCAGCAAGCCTTGTACATCAAGGAATAATTGCTAAGGAAGAACGAACTAGAATCTTGACCCATTACTATAAAAATAGTAAGAATGCCTGTGTGTACAGTGTGCTGTGTTGTGGGAAGAGTGCTTAAGATTGGAGCGGATCTTTAAAAGCCCTGAGAAAGGCTTTGGGTTTTATCTTATGTGTAATGGAAACCCGTTGGCCACTGGTTAGCATGATACACTTGGTAGAAACTGAAGACTTACGAGTTCATTGACATAAGGTGGCGTAGCTTGGATTAAACTGATGGCATTGCATGTTAATGGAGCTTATGAATCTCAGGATTCAGAGAGATGAAAATGTTTTGAAGGAGCTTATGGACATGGAAATAGTTAGTATGCAGTTCTTTAATTGCTATATGAGGGGTAGAAATAAAGCACACGGGCTGGAGATACAGCTCAGGGGCATAAGTGCTTGCCTGGCAAGCCTGAGGTCATGAGTTCGATTCCTGGTACCAAAAAGAAATAGAGCACAAAAAGTTTGCAGAGAAGCTGAGACTTACAAGACAGAATTTGTCAATGCAGTGAGGTATTCTAAGCAGAAGCAGCATTAGCAAGGAGTGGTACTTGAGAGGAATGCATAAAGACCAAGACAGATGCTCAAAAACACTGAACCTGGAAATGGACTTAGCCAAGTCCATCAAAGGTGGGCAATTAAAGAGGTTGAGGTGAAGAGAATGTTAGTGTTTTAATCTATGTATATATCCCAACTGAAATTGTATAGTCCTTGAGTGATTTTGACTATTATAGTAAGAATGAAAAGGCAGCTACCATTTCTATCGTATTTATTAGCTTCCAATATAGTGTTTTAGAGCAGTGGGAGGGGGGCTTCACAGAGCATAATCTGCATTGGAAGTTAAAGAACCATTCTTACTTGTATTCCTAGCAGCCTTACCCAATATTTTATATAGATGAAAGAGTGAAATGTTTTGGAGGGAATTGGGAGTATGAGGTGAACATGACTGCATATCTTCCATATAATAAGCCTTTACATAATAGCTGTGGCATTTTTTAATGAAATTAATGTTTTTATTTTAAAGGTATTTGAAATATCTTACCAAGAAATATCTTAAAAAGAATAATCTTCGTGATTGGCTTCGTGTGGTTGCATCTGACAAAGAAACTTACGAACTCCGATACTTCCAGATTAGTCAGGATGAAGATGGATCAGAGTCTGAGGACTAGGTGGTTTCCACTTACATGGCTTTGCTTTTTAGTAAAACAAATGAAGTGTATGTGAGAAAGAAACATCCGGAAATAGGCTTTTAGTTTATTGGTGAATAAAAACGTTGCATTCTTAGACTCAGTCTCATTTATTCTTTTACTGAGAGTATGGTATTTGTGTGAGTTTGATTTCCCTGTGGTATAGTTTTACATGTATTTTGGCAACCTCAAATATTTTGTAGTTTTTAAATGCTGTCCTGAGTACACCTGTATTGTTTCAGAGGATGCTCTTTCCAAAGGAACATGAAGGTTGTATGTGGATGAGCATGAGTCCTCCTAAGACCAATTAGAAATCTCCAGCCAAGTGAGGGTGTGGTAGGACATGCAAATAATCCTAACATTCAGGAGGCTATGGTAAGGAAATTGTATGTCTGAGGCCAGCCTATCCTGAAATAGACCCTGTCTAAAAAATTTTTTTTAAAATATGCCTTCTAGGCACCACAAAATCAGAACCTTCAGATCTGAACTCTTACTAAAGCTATTTGTACCTGGTCTGGGAGATCTCAGAAAAGGTTGGGGACATAGCTTAGTTGTAGAACTTTGGTAGCTTGTGCAAGTCCCTGGGTTCCATTCCTGTTACTACAAAAATAGCTTGTTGGGGTCTTACCCTCCCACTGCCCCACCCATCAGTAGGTATTAGAGAAAATGTCAGTGATCTGTAATAGACCCTTTCCCCAAAGATAATTCTTCAAGAAGTTCAAGCAGAATGCAGATTTCAGGAGATGAGAACAGGAAAGAACTACATGCCTATGTATACAATTGGAAAATGATGGTGCCAGTATTTAAAGTATTCGTAGGGCCCTGTGCCAGTTGAGTAGTGAAATACTCCAGCCTGCAGATTTATAGAATAGCTCTGGGACTTAGAAATAATTGGCTTCTGCCTCATTTCATGTTTTCCACAAATAGTTACTTTGTGCTTTCTAAATGAAATGGTGACTAAACGCATTTGTTCTGTCCTAGGATGAGTAAGGTGAAGCATTAAATAGGGCTGTGATGTGATCAAAATATGCAATTAAACACACCCCTCACTTTTCCAATCATGTTGAGCACTTTCATGAAGCAGTTTAAAGGGCCTTGTGTCTGGAAATTGATCAAAATATGGTGAGTACTACCACCCAGTGGAAAGGGAAGATTCTTAAACATGGTGTCCATCCACTTTACTCAACATACGTGGTACTATGGGAATTTTAAGGTATTTTTAATTGATGTAACCACGGTAGTGCAACTGAAGTCTTAATGAATTAAACTCAAATACTGTATTTTTTTATGACACCCTGTATTTGGCACTACAAAAGGGCATTTTATAAAAGTAATTTGACTAGGGATGGAACTGAAGTTTTATTGAAACAACCATGCACTTTATTCTATCTCACTGTGTACAACAGGAAAGTAGTTGTAGAGACATAGCCTACAAAGCCCGATTGCTTGCTAACTAGTGGGTTTAAGAAAGTTTGCTTTAGGCTTGAGTGGTCAGTTGTTTAACACACAAAGCTGTTCACAGGAGAACTGCTTCCTTGCTTGGTCTCTGCATGAGGCTGCTCAGGACATGGGAGCTGTTTTCCCTGAAAGCGAGGGATCTAAGCGAGAGGAAGAAGACCACAATGGAAGCAGCAGTGCATGTACACTAATCCAGTAGTAGCAAACCTACAGCATGTGTGCTGCAGCCGGCTGTTCTCATTGAAAGCTCTAAAATCTTTGCCATCACTGCTCGATCTCTGAAGCAGCATGCCATCCCTTTTGCTTTACTGATCACACAGACCAACCTTGGAACCAAATAGGAGGAAATTTCACAGCAAATCATGGTGGAAGCATGTGGTGAAGAAACCGCTCCCCTCATTAGCCAGGAAGCAAAAGAGCAAAAAGGGAGTAGAGGTCACAGTCTCACTCCAGACCCTAAGGATGTCCCACCAGGCCCCACCCCTCAAAGGTCTCACCACCTCCCTGAGAGAACCTCCATGGGGAACAAACACGTGAGCCTTTGGAGGACACTCAAAACCCAAATTATAGCAACCTTGTAATATCGTGGCCTTGTAATATCGTTGGTCACTCCCTCGGGGATATACATGGTTTTTTAACCCATTGTCTTAATGATGATCATTTGAGTTGTTTCTGAACTTTTGCTTTATGTACACACCTTTCTATATTTTTGCTATTGTATCTTCGTTTTTTTAGTATTAGCACTTTTTTCATTTTGTTTTTATCTTTTTGAGACAGGGTTTGCTATGCAATTCAGGCTGGCCTTGAGCTCACTTTGTAGCCAAGGCTGGCCTTAAACTTGAAAAAAATCCTCCTACCTCAGCCTCCCAAGTTCCGGGATTACAGGTGTGCATTGCCACAGCTGGGTGCAATTGTATCTTTACAGTGGATTTCTAAAAGGGAGGCTTATTGGTCAGAAGGTAATTTTGCTCTATGATGCTGAATTTCTCTCCATGGGGATTTTATCATTTTGCCCTCGTAGTAGCTGTTCCACTAGTAATATTTGAAAATACCCATTTCCCCACTAGCCATCAACATACTGTCCAGTTTCATCTATCTGCTAAGTGAGACCTTTTAGGATATCTTGATTTTGCATTTTGTTTATAAGTAAGGTTGATAGTCAATAAGCTTACAGTTACTTGCATTTCTATTCTGTGAGCAGCGTGTTTCTATCCCTAATATATATGTGTGGGGCTCTTAGTCATTTTATTTTTACTTTTAGAAGCTCCTTCTGTATTAAGGGTAATAACTTGTGGTCCATGACATAAGCTACAAAAGCTTTTTTCAATGTTGTCTTTTTCTCCTACTATTAATGGTTTTGTATTGTTCTGTTTTTACTATAGAAGCATTTTTATGTAATTAAATATATTAACTTTCCTTATTGCTTCATAAATTTGACCCATGATTAGAAAAGTTTTCCTCACATCCAGGTTAGAGAACTCACTGGTGCTTTCTTCTAGTGCCTATGTATTTACATATTTTAAAATGTGGGCCTCTGGTGGACGGGGCTGTATCTCCATGGTACAGCACTTGGCTAAAATGTGTGAGGCCTTGAATTTAATCCCCTGTACAAAAACAAACAAACAAAAATAGGTGTCTTCCTGTTATTTGAAATCTACCATGTTTTATAATTTGAGAAAGGTGAGAAATGGATTTGATTTTACCTTTTCTCCATGTGACTACCCATATATACCACTGCTTTTGATTAAAACTTTTCAAGAAGTTTTGATTGGCATTGATTTTCATACTTCTTGTCTGGAAGACCTCATTTATGGTTCTGCTGAGGTGGCTAGAGTCTGAATGTATAGATTAGTGTGCTGCTGTTTTATAGGCTGGATGATTTAAATGCCAGATGGCCTTTTTTTGTTGTTGTTGTTTTTTGTTTTTTTTTCTAGTACCAGGGATTGAACTCACGATCTTGCGCTTGCTGGGCAGGCACTGTGCCACTGAGCTAAATCCCCAGCCCCCAGAGGCCATTTAAAATGTGCTGATGTTTGTAAAAAGCTTTCTCTTCTCTTTTGATCCCCCAGCAGGCCTGTGTGGCAGAATATTATTTTCCCCATTTTACAGATGAGGAAACCAAGTTTCAGACTTACATACTGGCCCACAGCACTCCATGGTGCCCATCTATGCTGCCTCAGTGCTCCTCCCTCGCACAGGTCATAGTCAGGCTATGATGCACAAGTTGTTGGGTGTGGTCTGAGCTGTGATAGACACATCACAAGATATTGAGGGGCATTTACACCATAGTGAGTGGGAACAGGAACTGCAGGGGTCCGGGAGGAAGGAGGGAGCTGAACTTGAGCTGTTTTAAAGGATGAGTGGGGAGTTAACAGGACAGAGAGGAAGGGGAAGGGGATCGAGACTGAGGAGACAGTGAGGGGACTCACCACTCACCAGGACCTTCCGTTTTGGTGTCTTCATACTACATCTCCTTTTATCGCCAGTTACATTTCATTTAACTAGTATTTATTTCCCTTTGACAACACAGAAATCCAAGGCCTTAGAGTGCTAAATAGGCTTCCTGTGGTCACACAGCTAATAAATTGCAAATTGGAATTAATACATAATCTATCTGACTTCAGTGCTGTCACTCCTCTATAAATACCTTATGGTGGAATGTTTCTAAATGTTTTTCTGCCAAGCAATATTGTCTCTCAGCAATGCACACTTTACTGATTCCTTAGGAAAACCAAGCCTACGAACCATTCAGCTTTTATCATCTATCTATCTATCCATCCGTCTGTATCTATCTTGCCTGATACCTACAAACTGGCTTAACAGAGATTTATCTGATGCAATTTTATTGTAATAAAATCTGTCCTGGGAAATAGCCCAGTGCCTCCAAAACAACATGAATGATTCCTTATTCCATCATCCCTGTACTTTTCATCTAGGCATGAAACAAGCTTTCATAATGAGTCATTTTCTCTCTTATTTCAGCTGGACCCTCCCCACGGAGAACAGTGCTAAGGGGGCGAAATAGCCCCACTTGCCAAATGCATGCAGAGCTTACTGAGAAAGTGGCTAGGTTCTAGTCTTGAAAATGTTATTTCCTTCTCTGTTTCCAATACGTATAAGAGGTCAAAGGCTCCCTGTGTCTGACTCCTGCTTGAAGAGGCTAGTCCAAGACAGTGGCTGGAATAACCTGTCCACATCAAAGCAACGAGTGATGTGTGCCCACAGATGCAAACAGGCATGGATGTTGACTCTGGCCTGATATGGCCCATAGAGAACCAAGTCTTGATCAAGTTTCTGCCTACCTAAGAGGACTGCTTGGAAGACAGAACCCTTTAACCCCACACAGAAAATCTGTGTAGAATGGACTGCCACATGCTCAAAAGCTATGGCTAAAAAAGGGAAAAGCCTAAGAAAAGACGTTGCCTATGTTACAAATGTTGCAGTGAAAGATTCTCAGTGATAAACTTTGAGAAGTCCAGAAATGAATTCTTTAAAAAAAAAAGAACAAACTTTGAATTTTCTTCAAGCCCAGAGAGCCATATTATCAAACTATAGCTACTAAGTCAGAGCTTTTCTCCATTTCCTTTTCTTTGCTAGCCTCTGACATTTTCAACCCAAGCCTAGGGGAGCCAGGGGTAGCC